TTCCGTTCCGATCCAGCCGAGACGAGTCGATATCGGCGGCGAGAAGGAAAAGGCCTTCTCAGGAGGCGGCGGGACTTCTGAGAAGCCCTCGCGCCTTCTCAGAAGGTTTTGGTGCCCTCTGGGAAGGCTTAGAACACTTCTCAGAAGGCCGGAGGACTTCCGAGCCTTTTGAGGAGGCCCGCCCCTTCTCACTTCGCCCCCCGGCTTGCCGCCGAAAGAGGGTGGATGTCATGGCCGGGTCCATGATATCTCCCCAGATTTTAAGTCGCCCATGCTTCTTTCAGTGTGTCCCCTGGGCTCCCCTGGGACGCGCACATGCCTCGGGCCATGATTTGCGCGACCCTCTCTTGGACGCCCCCCCCTTGGACGCTCCCGAGAGATGTGGCTCGATGTGGAGTCCGATTTTCTGCACGCCGATGTCACCGATGCATCGCCGACACTGCCGATTCATCGGCGGTGCATCGTCGAGGCATCGTCGATGTGGTGCGATCCTCTGTGCTCGGACCCCATTTGGGAGGTCTCTATGTGCGCCGGCGCTGGGCCTGGCCAGTCTCATCCTCGGCTCCACTGACATCTTCGCGTCGTGAAAGCATCACGGCAGAAGGTATCTTTGATAGTTTTAGGGATTCTGGGGGCCCTCACATGGCTCTGGGACCAGCAATCGACGACTCGGGATCAAAAGCCGGTCCCCGTGAAGGGGTTTAGTCTTCTGGAGAGCCACGCTGCGACACGAATCACGACGTCGGATGTCTGGGTCGAGATCCCGTGGCGCCGCAGACATTGCTCTGCTGCGGTATTGCATCCCAGCCTGCTCGGTCCTGGCCTCGTGCACCACGCAGCCGCTGTGCGCCAGAATACCTGGCAGCAAGGCCTTTTGACGCACACTTGGGTGCCTTCCTCACTCGCTCGCCACTGCACCCTGCACATGTTGACTTGTGCTACGCCTCCGGCGCCTGCAGCCTTTGCCTCAGCCCATAGGTGTGGGCGCCACGCCGCTCCACGTCCACTGCCAGGGCGCCTCAGCAACGGTCGGCCGCACTGGGCACTCACGCCGAAAACCTTCGTGCCGTGAGTGCCCTCCCCTTCTCCTCCTGCTGCGCGGCCGCCCTCTGCCCTGTTTCTGCCTGTGTCAGCTGGACAGTCAATACGCTCCGCCCCAGCTACTGGAGCGCGCGAGCGGCTTGCCTCTGCCGCGCCACGACGAAAAAAACGTCTGGGTCGGGATCGCTGTGCAAGCCTTCTGGGCCCCGCCGCGAGGGCGTCCATGCACCGATCCCTGGCCAGGATGGGCCCGGGCCAGGCCTGGTGCAGGCGCACAGCTGGCGCCCTGAAGCACGAGGTCCTCCTCCTCGCCGACCGCGACCTCGCGGCCAGCGGGCCGTTGGCGGAGGAGGCGGCGGCGCAGCCCTCCACCTCCGAGGCGGCGGCGCAGCCTCATCAGGCGCAGGCGGAGCTGGCAGCTCATGAGCCCTCGGCGGTGGAGGCGGCGGCGCAGCCCCAGGAGGCGGCGGGGCAGCATGTGGCCTGCGAGCCGGCAGCTGCGGAGGCAGAGGCTGCGGCAGAGGCGCGACCTGCTGCGCCGGAGGAGGAGGACGAGGATGAGGAGGATAATGAGAAGGAGGAGGAGCGCGTGACCGCCGCCGAGCCAGTGACGACGGAGGTGTTGGCCGTGCAGCCTGCGGCTGGTGAGCCGGCTGTAGCAGAAGCAGAGGCTGCGGGCGCGCCAGAGGCGCGGTCCTCGGCTAGGGCGGCACAGGGCCTCAGGCCTCGGGGTGTGGCCGCCAAGGCTCTGCTGAGGGGCATCCGGAGCGGGGAAGTCGGCCAGATCATCAACGCGGCGGAGGCTGGGGAGACTCCTTTTGGGACCCCATCCAGCCCCTCCCGTCATCCCTCCCTCCCGCCCAGCCCTTTCCTCCTTCGTCTCTTGTCCTCCCTCCTCGTCGTCGTCGTCGTCGTCGTCGTCGTCCGCCCTCCTCCCTGTTCTCCACCTCCCCTGCTGCTGCTGCTGCTGCTGCTGCTGCTGCTGCTGCTGCTGCTCATCCTCATAGCTACGTGACCCTTAGCCATTACGATCTAAGGGCAGGAGGAACAGCAGGCTTGCGGACGCACGTTTGTGGCTTCGGCCATTCAGGGCTTCGTGGCAGCATCCTGACGCGCTGCGTGCCCGTATGGGAGGCGGGACGGAGAAGGTTGCGCGCCGGCCGTTTGGCCCGATGGGTGAGTGGCGTCACTGCTTCGCGTTTGCACTGCCTGGATCTCGCCCAGTGTCGTGCGGTGCCGTGTGGTTCTTGTTCGCCCAGACTGGGGCGGGATACAGACACCGTGGTCGCAGGCTCGGACTCTGGCATGGGCGACCGGTGCGTTGCGCCGCTGCGCGCGCCGTCCGCACGTCGCAGGTGGTTTGCCAAATGAATTAGCCACTTGCCATAGCTGTCTCGTTCATGCACACCATCTGCGCGAGGCGCTCGCGGTTGGCCATTTGAGTCAGCCGGTCGCCAGGGCTGCCTCGGGCGCCTTCTCTCAACCCGCACCGTAGCGGTAGTTGGCAGAATTTGCTAGCGGGTTGCCAAGGTTGCCTCGTGCGCTCGCTCTCCCGACAGGCGTCCTTGGTTGGCCAAGTTGGCCAGCCCGTCGCCGGGGCTGCCTCGGGCGCCCACATCCGTCCGTCTGCGCGCCGCTGGTGGTTGCCGGTTGCCAGTGTTGCCTCCCGTGCCCTCCGTCTGCGCGGCGCCAGTGGTTAGCCAGGTGAACCAGCCGGTTGCTTAAGCTGCCTTGCGCGCCGCCCACCTTTGCAAGCCAATTTGGCTGCACCGTGCCCCGCAGGGCGGGTTCAAACACGGCTTCATGTTCCTCGACCTCTTCCTCCTGCTCTCTCCTTGTCCTCCATCGTCCTCTTCCGTTCTTCCTCCTTCTCCTCCTCCTCCTCCTCCTCCTCCTCCTCCTCCCCCTCCTCCTTCTCCTCGTCCTCCTCCTCCTCCGCCTCCTCCTCCTCCTCTTCCTCCTCCTCATCCTCCTCCTCATCCTCATCCTCCCCCCTGAATTCTCCATCCTGCCCTTTCTCACCAAATCCTCCTCGACCTCCTCCACCTCCGAGGCGGCGGCGCGGCCTTATCAGGCGCAGGCGGAGCTGGCCGCTGATGAGCCCTCGGCGGTGGAGGCGGTGGCGCAGCCCCAGGAGGCGGCGGGGCAGCATGTGGCCTGCGAGCCGGCAGCTGCGGAGGCAGAGGCTGCGGCAGAGGCGCGACCTGCTGCGCCGGAGGAGGAGCGCGTGACGGCCGAGCCAGTGGCGGTGGCGGTGTCGGCTGTGCAGCCTGCGGCCGGTGAGCCGGCGGCAGCAGAGGCTTGCGGCGCTCAGCCTGCCGCTGCTGCTGCTCCTCCTCCTCCTCCTCCTGGCTGAGGGTCCCTTTTGGCCGAGGGTGGTTCGGGGAGCCGGATTGGGCCATAGTCGCTCCAGCCTGCTTTGGGGGTGGGACCTGCGATTTTCCAGCCGTGCACGCCAGTTCTATCATTTTGTGCTATTTTTGTTCTTCCTCTTCGTCGCTCCTCCTCTCTCCTCTCTCTCCCTCCCTCTTCCCTCCGCCTTCCGCCCTCCTCCTCCTCCTCTTCCTCCTCCGTTGATTTTCCTTATAAGCAACTCCTCCCTGTCGCACCCCGACGCCGGTCGAAAAGGCGGGCCGGGTGTTTCGCCTGAGACTTCTTCACCACTTATGGTGTGGAAGCTTAAGAAATTGTAACAGTGTCACGCATGGAGGGCGAATCGTTTTCAACATGTGGCTCTCGCTTGGGCGCCGCGCACGCCCGTTTCAAAAAACACTTGCAAGAGTTTGCCGGGCGGGGGGCGCGTCGTTTTCAAAGTGTGGCTCTCGCCGTAGCGTCGCGCACAGGCGTGTTCAACAATTGTAAGAGTTTCACGGGCGGAGGGCGGCTCCTTTTCAACATGTGGTTCTCGCCGTAGCGCCGCGCACATTCGTTTTGGCCAGTTGCAAGAGTTTCACGGACGGAGGGCGGTTCCTTTTCAACATATGGTTCTCGCATTCTAGCGCCGCGCACATTCGTTCCGAGACTTCACAGCAGTATCCAGAATTCTCATGGCTGGCGTCCCAGACATTGTGTTTTGGCACGATGTGTCAGATTGCCATGGCGCAGCAGTTACGGTGATTCCTGGTGTTGAGGTCCCAGGACGGTTTTTCCAGCACTACTCAGAATCTGCAAGACGCAGCAGGAGCGGTGCTTCGCGGCGTTGACGTCCCAGGAAAACGCGCTCTGGCACAACTCAGGATCTTCGAACGATTGTCTTGCAACGGGGCATCTCGTTCAGTGACAATGAACCCCTGTAGGGGCCTCTGAAGAGGGAACTTGGAGAGAGGATTTATCGCAATATCGTTGACGAGTCTTGGACTTGCACTGGTCCTCCCTCCTCTCATCCTCCTCATCCTTCTTCCTTCTCCCCACGCCTCCTTATCTTTACAAGGAACTCTTTGTCGCACCATCAGACGTCTCGTCAGGGCGATCTTGGCGTTTCGCCTGAGACACCATTACCGCTTGCGATAGCGAAGCTCGGAACTCCCAACAGTTGCACGGACCGAGCTTGAGCCATCTTGAAAACAGGGCTCTCGCATTGGCGCCGCGCACGCTCGTCGTAAACTTAAGTCGGGCCTGTCCCTGTACAGGGGGACTATTCTATTCAAAAGTAGTAAACAAATAGTCTGGGGACGATTTTTGGAATATGTTTTGATCACTTTGGGTATTTTCGGAGTATCCGCCGGCCTCCTTATGGGGCCACCAGGCTGTAAGGCTAAGCTTCGCAGTTTCCTGTGCTAGTTGCAGCTTCCAGTTTCCACTGTTACAGTTCTGCTTCTTGCTGCTTACTGTTCCTTGTTACAGTTTTGCTTTTTGCTGCTTACTGTTCCTTGTTGATGGACCGCGCGAGGGGGGGAGGCCCAAAACGGGCATTTTTCACGACGCCCTGGGAGGGTTCTCAGAATTGATGGGGGGGTAAAAATTGACACCCCTCACGCAGATCGGCGGGGTCAGGGTCCAAAAACAAAGGGGATTTGCCACATTTCTGAAATTCGGTGGCACCCCTCACGCAGATCGGCGGGGTCAGGGTGCAAAATCACATGGGACTTGCCACATTTCTGAAATTCGGTGGCGCCCCTTTCTCAGATCGACGGGTCAGGGTGCAAAAACATACGGGCTTTGCAACATTTCTGAAAAATTCGGTGGCACCCCCCCCCACGCAGATCGGCGGGGTCAGGGTGCACAAACACAAAGGATTTGCCACATACCGGCAGGGTCAAGGTCCAAAAACACAAGGGATTTGCCACATTTCTGAAATTCGGCGGCACCCCTCACGCAGATCGGCAGGGTCAGGGTCCAAAAACATAGGGGATTCGCTACATTTCTGAAATCCGGCGGCACCCCTCACGCAGATCCGTAAGGTCAGGGTCCAAGAACAGAACGGATTTGCCACATTTCTGACATTCGGTGGCACTCGTGACGCAGATCCGTAGGGTCAGAGTCGAAAAACAAACAGGTGCCGACACTGCTTCACGGCGGCGCCCAGACCTTCTGATTTAGCTTTTGCATCTCCCATTATCCGAGACAGGGGACCGGCGGCATGGGGCGAAGCCCTTATTATTATTATTCTTATTATTTTTCGTCCAAAATACCTCTGTAGAGGTACAGGCCCGACCTAATCGTAAACGTTTCCAACAGGTACATGGATGGAGGGCGAGCAGTTTCCAGAATCGGGCTCTCGCCTTGGCGCCGGGCTCGCTCGCGGTAAAACAGTCCAGCACCTTACACGGATGGAGGGCGAGCCAGTTCTCAGCATGGAGTTCTCGCACCGGCGCCGTGCACATTCGTTTTCAAATGTTTCCAGCAGTGACAGGGAGGAAGGGCGGTTCCTATTCAAAATGAGGCTCTCGCCCGTGATTTCGTCCCGACAATTATCACCAGTCACCAAGCCTGTGCGTAACATTTACCCAGATCGAAGGCTCCTTTTCAAAATCGGGCTCTCGCTTGAGACTTCGTTCGAATCATGGACGCTTCGTTCATTCCCAGCAGCCCATCCAGAAATGTGACCCATGCGAGTTGCTTCGCTCAGGGATTTAGGAGCAAGCAGTGAAACAAAGAGGGTGGATCACCCGTCAAACCACATATGAGGATCAGCCAGATCAGGCCCAGGCGTCAACAAGAAATGCTTTCGCGGGCTTTTTGATATGCGGGCCTCTTGGCAGCTCCTTTGGGCCAGCCTAGGGCTATCCTGTGGCCATTTTGAAAGCCTTTGGGCCTCTCTCGGGGCCCTCTTTGGGGCCGTGGGAGTCGTGAGGCCATCTTGGAGGCCATCGGTCAAGAAAGCTGGCGGCGCGGACGACGCCCCCCTCTTCTTGGGAGCTAGACGCATCGCCCCTTGGGGCCCCGTTGGGGCGCTGTTGAGGCGCTCTTGGCCGCTCTTGGGGCCGCCGTGGAGCTCTTCCCCGTCCCTCTTGGGGCTCTCACGGGCTATCTTGGAGCCAGGAGGCTCGCTCCGGAACCAACTGGAAGCGGAAAGGCTGGAAGCAGCTGCCGGTATGGGTAAGGAGGCGACCACACGCAGCCGAGCTCATCTGCTGGACCGGCGGTTTTGTAGCTGGCGCAGACGGCGTGGTCCTCCCGCCTGGGACGCCGCGCTCACGCGCCCACCCCCTGTGGCACATCGTCGCGTACATGCGTACACCGGAAGCCGCCCCAGAGCAGCACCAAAGCCGCGCAGACCAGCGAGCCAAAGCGGCCTCAAAGTGGCAATCCGCGGGGCAGTCGGCGGGCAGTGCGCGGCAACCCGCCCCCCGCAGAGGCAATCCGTGGTCGGCCCCTGCCCCCTCCAGCCCAGACCTTCAAAAAAGCAATCCGCCTGGCCGAGGCTTTGAGATTCTACTTCTCATGGGGTGGGGATGGGGAGGGGGGGCGATGGGGAGAGCCCCACGCCCGCCGCCCGCCACCGCGCCGCCCGAAGAGGGTGTTCTTGTCTATTGCGAAGGCCTTACGGCCAGTGCCGTCGACGCTGAATGGCGACGACGACGACGACGAGCGCTCTCGGGGGCCTCTTGGGTGTAGTTTTGGGGCCTCTTGGGAAGCTCTTGGGGGCCGCTTGGAAGCCTCGTGGGGGCCTTTCGGGGGTTCCTGGGGGTCTCTTGGGGGCTTCTTGGGGCTTATTGCGGGGCTCCTGAGGGAGGCTACTTTGGCGACTTGGACCGATACTTCGGCGATTTGGGGCCCTCGAGGACCGTCTTGGGCGCATCTTGGGGCAGTTTTGCCGCGTCCTGCGGCTTCTCTTGGCCGCCCAACCGCCCGAGGGGGAGTCGTATCTGCCCCAGGACCCCCGCGGGACCCCTCCCTTGGGACCCCCCCCCGGGACCCCTCCCCAGGACCTCATTCCCGGGACCCCCCCCCCGGCGGGGAAAGGATCAAAGGGAAGGGGCTTCCTCTCGACTCAACTACAACGTTGCTCAATTTCGCTGTGGCTGGCGCGCTCGAGGAGGAGAACCCGGTGAAAGTGGGGGTAGCGGCGACGGGCCTAGGGAAAGGGGGGAAGCGAGCGGCGAAGGCGACGACGACGACGATGACGACAACGACCACGACGACGACGATGACGATGACGATGACGACGACGAGGACGACGACGACGACGACGACGACGACGACGACGACGACGACGACGACGACGACGACGACGACGACGACGACGACGACGACTACGACGACGACGACGACGATGACGAGTCAAACGGAACAGCCTCTTCCACACACCGACAGGGTCGTCGTCGTCGTCGTCGTCGGTGTCGTATTCGTCGTATTCGTATTCGTCATCGTCGTCGTCGTCGTCGTCGTCGTCGCCGGCGCCTTCGCCGTCGCTGTCGCCGTCGCCGTCACCGTCGCCGTCGCCGATGGAGGAGGAGGAGGGGAGTCCTCTTGGGTTTCTTTTGAGGAGTCTTGGGGCGCTCCTGGGGCCCTCTCGAGGGCACTGTAACGCTTCTAGCGGCCATCCTGGGGGCCATCGATCAAGAGGGAGGATCCTCGATTTGCCCTCCCCCTTCCGGGGCTATCTAAGTCGCCTCTTGGGGCGTTTTTGGTGTGCTCTTGGGCCGATCTCGGGCGCTGTTGTGGCCGTTTTCGGGACCTCTTGGGCTTGAGTCTCTCTTGAGCCATCTTGGTTCCATGTTGATGCTGCACAAGCGCATGCGGAAGCGAAAAGGCAAGACGGCGGCACGCGTGATTGATCTTGGGAGGGGCCTTGGGTGGGCTCCGAGAGCACTAGGGGTTGTCTTGGAGCGGTCCTTGCGGCCTTTTCGAGCATGTTGGCAGCCATCCTGAGCCATCTTGGAGGCCATCTTGGAGCATCGGAGGCCATCTTGAGCCATCTTGGACGCTCTAGCCTTCGTTTCCTGTACAGTTTTTTTTGAACCTCCGGGACGGGGAGGGGGACGGTGCCCCTCCCCGTCCCTGGGCTCTTGGGCCTCTCTTGGGGCTCTCTTTGGCCACCTTGAGGCGAGGCCTCAAAACCCACCGGAAGCGAAAGGGGCCACGATCCATCAGATGCGGATGGGCGCTCAAGTGCGCGCGCACGGACGCCAGCGCTCGAAAACTGCGCGCATGAAAATGTCGTGGCCACTTTGGCTCAAGAGTCGAACCATCAGCTTCGACTTGCGCACACAGCCTGTATCGATACCTACTTTACTTCTTTAACCTCCGTTCGCCCGATTTGTGGAGATGTTGGCGACTGGGATGATCTGGCCGCTCGTGCTTCTCGGGCTCCCAGGCGCGTGTGGCGTGCAGCTGGCGACGAGCGGCTGGCACGAGCATGTTGTTGTCAACGCCACGTCCATGCGGTCGAAGCTCGCGGAGTGCAGCAGTTCGCAGAAGTGTCAAGGCTGTTGCACGCCACTGGGAGATACCGCGTCTGCGTGGCAATTCACTTCGTCAGGGGCGCACGGCACTTGGTCCAGCACCACCGCGTTCATCCGCTTCGATTTCGAGGACGATACATACTGCGGTGGCGTCGCGACTGCCAGACAACACGGGAACGCAATTCTCACCTCGAACGACGCTTCGCCCATCGACTTGACCCTTGCGATGACAGGCGTCGCGGAGGCCCAGTACGAACAGTTTGATCTTTATGGTTGACAATGTCCTGCAGGTCTCGGTGCAAGCTACAAACGGCCACGGGGGGAGCGCATGCGCGGTCAGCACTTGCATTATGTGCGATGTCAATATGGCCACGCGGACATTCTCGCTTTCAGCTGGGGCGCACACGATCAGGGTAGAGGTTGATTCTCGCGACGGTCTGTACCACAGGGGCGCTTATTTCCAGATGACCTTCGGCAAAAGTAGCCCCACATGTGGCGGATGCACTTGTTCGGCGTCGACGCCGAGCCCGACGCCTTACCCGACGCCTTACCCGACGCCTTACCCGACGCCTTACCCGACCCCAAACCCGACCCCAAATCCAACGCCAAACCCGACGCCTTACCCGACGCCTTACCCGACGCCAAACCCGACGCCGTGCCCGACGCCCAGCCCGACGCCCAGCCCTACGCCAAACCCGACGCCTTACCCGACCCCAAACCCGACCCCAAATCCAACGCCAAACCCGACGCCTTACCCGACGGCTTTCCCGACGCCCTTCCCGACGCCCTTTCCGACGCCACTCCCGACGGCTTTCCCGACGGCTTTCCCGACGCCCTTTCCGACGCCATTCCCGACGGCCTTCCCAACGCCCGTCCCGACGGCCTTTCCGACGCCTTTCCCGACGCCCGGCCCGACGTCCAGCCCGACGTATCCTCCGGGTTGGCCGACGCCACATCCGACGTTTCCTCCTGCAGCTCCCATGGCGGGTGGAGCCGCGGCGGCTGCAACCGGCGACCCCCACCTTCAAAATGTTTATGGCGAGCGGTTCGATCTTATGAAACCGGGCAAGCATGTTCTGATAAACATGCCTCGTGGAATGAGCGCTGAAGAAGTATTGTTACGTGTGATGGCCGATGCGCGCCGATTGAGTGGACATTGCGGGGATATGTATTTCCAAGAACTGAACATTTCAGGGTCTTGGGCAGAGGCCAAGCGAGCTGGGGGGTATCGCTACAGCGTATCGCAAAATGCAGTCGAGACTCCGCAATGGGATGCATTTGCTAGGGTTGAGCTGAAAGTCGTCCATGGACATACGGACGGTGGCTTCCCGTATTTGAATTTGTGCGTGAAGCATTTAGGGCGAGCTGGGTTTGCCGTCGGAGGTCTACTGGGAGAGGACGACCACACGGACGTGATTTCTCCTCCGGTTGGATGTGGGACGCATACGGATCTCTCAACGCATGTAAACCATGATCGGCCGAGCCGCTATACTTCCTCAGTTGCGCGTGCATCATTCCTTTGATAGCGTAAACGTGCGGCCAGCCCCCCTGTGGCTGCAATCGCGGTAGAGAGCTTTACAGGATCCCAGTTCGATGGACTTGGTTGTTGTGGTTTTTGTTTCAGAAAAAGCGCAGTCACGGGTCTCCCCAGACCATGCCCAAACAAGAGCATTGACCCGCGAAGGTGGGAGAAGCGATATAGTTTGGGTACGGGAGCGCGCGCTAGAACAGTTCTAGACTTTTCGCAGAACCCCGCCAACCCATTCAGAAACGCTGCCCAGGCGAGTTGCCCTGATAAGGGATGCGATTGTGCATGCAGTGGCATGACGGGCTGGGGAAGTCGCCTTACCCCAAGAAGGGAGTGATGGAGGAGGAGGAGGATGAGTAGGTGGAGGAGGAGGAGGAGGAAGAGGAGGAGGCGGCGGACGAGGCGGAGGAGGAGGAGGAGGAGGCCTCGGAGGAGGAGGAGGGAGGAGGAGGAGGAGCAGGAGGAGGAGGAGGACGAGGAAGAGGAGGAGGAGGCGGAGGAGGAAGACAGCTAAGACCAAACATCATGCTAAGGTGAACTCTAAGGATACTCATAATACTAATACTACCTCTAATACTAATCATTTCACGAATGAGACGAATACGGATATCACGCATACGAACAATACTACGAAGTACACCATAACATGACACATGCTACACACTTATACGAAGGCTTAGCCGAAGGCGACGTATAGTAAGACGAACACTGATACACAAAACGACGCATACGACACATACGACGAACACTACTCATAAGACGAGGAGGAGGAAGAGGAGGGGGATGAGGATGAGGAAGAGGAGGATGAGGCGGAGGAGGATGAGGAGGAGGAGGGGGAGGGGGAGGAGGAATAGGAAGAGGAAGAGGATGATGATGCTGATGATGATGATGATGCTGATGATGATGATGCTGATAATGATGATGATGATGATGATGATGATGATGATGATGATGATGATGATGATGATGATGAGGATGATGATGATGATGACGATGCTGCTGCTGAACATGATGAGGCTGTCGATGATGATGCTGGTGATGAAAATGTCGCTGATGATGATGATGATTATGATGATGATGATGCTGGTGCTGAGGATGACGATGCTGACGATGCTGGTGATGAGGATGATGATGGTGATGATGCTGCTGCTGATGATGATGCTGCTGATGCTGCTGATGATGGTGGTGGTGGTGATGATGATGATGATTACGATGATGATCATGATGAAGATGATGATGATGAGGAGGAGGATGAGGAGGAGGAGGGGGAGGAGGAGGAGGAGGAGGAGGAGGAGGAGGAGGAGGAGGAGGAGGAGGAGGAGGAGGAGAGAGGAGACGGAGGAGGTGGAGGAAGAGGCGGAGGAGGAGGAGGCGGAGGAGGAGGATGCGAAGGAGGAGGAGGAGGAGGAGGAGGAGGAGGAGGAGGAGGAGGAGGAGGAGGAGGAGGAGGAGGAGGAGGGAGGAGGAGGAGGAGGAGGAGGAGGCGGAGGAATAGGAAGAGACCGTAGCCTCTGGCTCAAGCCTTTTCGGCTCAAGGCCATTTTCCTTCCAAGGAGTGGGGTCAGGGCTCGAGGTGGCGCAGCGCCAGATTGTTGCTCACGCGCATCTGCTGCCCGCAGGCGTGAGCGCAGCACTCAGTGCCTCCTTAGCCGCTATGGGAGGTCGAGGTGCTGGCGGCAAGGACAAGAGCACGGTCTTGAAGAGTGGCAAGGGCAAGGGCAAGGACAAGTCCCCCACCGTGACGTCCGTGTCGCAGGCGCCTGTGTCTTTTCCGGACATGTGCAGGATGCAGCGCCCAGGTTAGTCTTCAGCACCGATGGTGCTGGCGCTGTGGGGCCCATTGGCAAGCGGAGCCATCGACGAGCCCAGCGGGCGACCAGCACCAGGGCGGCCGCAACAAGAACAGGGAGGAGGCCACCTCTGCAGCGAAGGGCCAGCCCCAGATCCTCAAGCCCCAGAGCACCTTAAACGCGCTGAAGAGTCTGGAGTCCAAGCATGGGGGAGCAACGCTCGAGCATGCGGAGGAGGCCGTGGCATCGATCAACAATATTTTGGGCAAGTTGCGGGCCGACCGTGGCAGTGGCAAAAGTGAGTCCCAGCTGCAGCAGGCTGTGTTCACAAAGCTGAACAAGGCGCAGAAGCAGTTGGAGGCCCAGGAGGAGTACGTCAACCAGCAGACCCAGGCATTGGAGAACCTGGAGATCAAGCGTGCATTGATGTTGGCAGGTTTGGAATCAGCCAAGCAGCTGTACACGGAGTTAGAGCAGAAAGTGTCGGCCCTGAAGTTCCCCGCGCCTCAGGCTGACCCGTGCTTCCTCCCTCCAGGCATTCCCTTGCCGACGCCGGTGCCAGCGGGGAAAGGCATGGCATTGAGTGCGATCGCGCAGTTTTGACCTGGAGGCGCGAACATGGATGCTCAAGCATTTTTGAATAGTCTGAGTTTTCTCGGCAGAAACTTGCACCCCAGCCTGATGCAGCAGTTGTGGGCCCCCATGCAGGAGCTTGCGCAACATATCCGCTTGCAGGGTGGCTCGGCACCGTCGGGGGCAGCGGCATCGACGGCGACGAGTGCTTCAGGAGTTCGCGAAGGGCTCGAACATGCTCAAGCTGAACTACGATGCGCGGAAGCAGCAGGAGCTCATGAGGCTGAGGCTGAGCAGGCAGCTCGTCAGGCAGCGGATGCGCGTGAGGAGCAGGGCTCAGCGATGCCGCAGCAGCCTCTTGCGGGCAGGCGCCCTGCGGACGAGTCTGAGGGTGCAGCAGGGAAACGAGCGAGGGCTGAGGGCGAGGTTGCCGAAGAGGGCGCTGCGGCTGCGGAGGCTGCGGCGTCTGGACGGCGTCTTTAGCACTCAGCAGGTGGCGTGTGCCGCCGAGGGGCTGCGGATCCTCACCGTCAATGCTAACAGCTGGGCGCCAGCGGCCGCCTACATGCAGCGTTGTGAGGCGCGCGTGGTACTCGTTCAAGAACACAAGCTAGCTACATGGCCAAAGGTTACTGGAGGCAACAGAGTCCATGAAACAGTTGGGCTGGGAATCTTTCTGGTCGCAATGCGAGATCACGGGCAGGGGGGGCTCGTCAGCAGGCGTGGCCATCCTCGTTCGCTTTTGCTTGGGCGCGTGGCAGGGCCCCAGCAGGAGCCACGATTTGTCTCAATATCGATTGATTCACGCATAGTTTCGGTCAAAGTCGTTTGGGTTATCTCACTCTGCTGTGGCTATTTCCACGACAGTGTGGGGCCAGCTCTTAGGAATGTGCTCATGGGACAAATCCTTGGTAGAGATGTGCTTCGTCAAGGGTTACCCTTCTTGTGTGCTGCAGCTTTTAACATGGAACCTCATATACTTCGGGAAATACTGGCACCGCACGGGTGGAATGGACAATGCGTTATGCCCAATCCTATGGTCACGTGCGTGAGCTCAGACTCAGGGAAATGTTATGATTACTTTATCTTGGGCAAACAACTTCTCCCGACTGTCAAGTCGGCCCGAGCGGACTTGGAATCGTACATCTTCCCGCGCAGGCCAATCTACCTTCGGCTCGCCACCAAGGCGGGCGACATTTGTGTGCAGCGGTTGCGCTGTTTTGCGAGGCTCTCAGTGTATTGTCCCATTGGATGCAGGCCGCGCTCGCCCGGGTATGAAGACTTCGATGAGAAGCTCAGCACTCTTTTGCAGCCTCTGGAGGTCTCAGGTGGCTTCAGGCCCCCCGTCAGCAGCGAGGTGAGCGCCCTGCAGAGCGGCCTCGACGA